CTGACAAAACTGCCAAATACATGCATTTCACGTTAAGACCTGGTAAATTTCTTTTTTATTTTATTTTTTTTTTTTTTTTGGTTTTTCTCCGGTACCAGGAACCGAACTCACGACCTTGTGCTTGCCAGGCAGGCGCTTTTGCTGCTGAGCTAAATCCCCAGCCCCAGTGCTATTATTTCCTTTTACACTAATGCTTTTGCTAGACTTCCTCCAGAATCAAACAATCATATCGCTTGGTAATCTATAGAAAGTCCTCCGCAAGACCAGGTCTTGCTATGTGTCTTAGTTTGGCCTCAAACTTGTGGTGATCCTCCTGCTTCAGTCTCCTAGCGGCTGAAATTATAAGTATGTGCTACCACCAAGCCTTACTAAGAATGTATCTTTGTTGTGGGACCTACCCACTCCATCCCTGGGTGGAGCCATCCCTGGGTACCTCTATCCCGTGCCACCCATCCCTGGTCTCTCCACGGATAGCATGGAGATCGGTGGCTGTCCTGGTGGTCAGAATGTCCCTGAAGTCTTCTCCACCCTAGGGGAGTGTCAGGTTGGGGTCCTGCAGGGTCTGGAGGTTGTGCTGGGCCCTGGCCCAGGGCACTGTTCTTTCCTTATCGTGCTGACTGGGGCATCAGAACAGGGCACTGTGGCCTGGTGTATGAGAGAGCAGGACCCTGGCTTGCAGCTGGAACTCGGTAGCAACAGGAAAGCAGTCTGAGCTGCAGCCCTGCTCTTAGCGGAGGGGCTGGAGCCCTCCCTGGAGCTCCAGGTTCTCTCCCCCATTTGGGGACCCCAGCCTGGTGGTGTCTCTGCTCCTGCTGGCTTCCAGAAAGCTCTGCAGCTCGCCTCCTGCAGGGTTTGTCTTAGAGGCAAAACAAGGACTCTGGAGACTCCAGTGCCCACAGGAGAGGCTGCCAGCCCCAGCTCCTGCCCCTGACCTGGAACCTGGCCTGACCACCCCAACTTCTCCTGAAGGTAACATCCAAAATGCCAGCCCTGCTCATTAACCCTCACTTTGTGGAGCGGGGTGTGGTGGCGCATGCCTGTAACCCTCATGCTCCAGGAGGGTGAGGGGGCAGGAGGATCACAAGTTTAAGCCAAGCCCGGGCAACTTAGGGAGACCCATCTCAAAATATAAAGGAAAGGGTGGGGATGTTTCTCATGCAGAGGTCTTGGGTTCAATCCTCAGTTCTGCCACCGAAGCAAAGAAAACCCATCTCACTGTGTGCCCACAGTGCCTGCACCCCCACTCCGTGCAGGGGAAGCAGAGGAAACCTGGCGTGGAGCCCTGCGGCCCCAGCCTGTGTTGCTCCACAGAGCCTGTGGGCGTTGACTAGTGTCCTGGGGCAGGGGAGGGACGGGAGTGGCCACTGGGGCAGCGGAATGCGGGGGAGCAGGGCTTGCATGGGAGGGGCCTTCCACGGCTCCTTGCTGGGTGGATCAGGGACTCTGGGACCCACAGCTGTGTGCACACCCTTAGTGTTGCTGACCCCACCCACGTGCTGGGTCTTGTGAAGGTGGCCCGGAGGACTGACGCAGAAGAATGTGTGTTCTGGGTGTAAGGGCCAGATCTCAAGCACACCCCAGGCTTGTTGCTCTTTTCAGGACGCGTCCTCGGGCTCCTGGTCAAGCAGTCTCCTGCCTCAGGCTCCTGAGTGCTGGGACCACCGGCACATGCCACTACTCCAGCTCAGGTGGGTTTTCAAAGAGTCAAAACAACAAACATGCAGAAAATGCAAGTAGCACAGCTGGCCAGGCCGCCCATCCTGCCTGCACTGTGCAGTCGTACATGGGTTTCTTGTATTCTTGTAAAGCCCTTGTACCCGGAGTACCTCAGCAAGGTCCTGGTGGAGAGGCAGCCGCCACGCACGCAACTGCCATGGCCCTGAGGGAAAACGGGGCCCTCCCTGGGCCCACAGGTCTGCACCAGGGCGTCGAATGTCTGTGCTACTTACAAATTTCCCCAAAATGTGAAGTTCCCAAAACACGGATGTCTGCCGTCTCGCACACTTCTTGTGGGTGCAGCGATGGTCCCAGCGAGCTGACGGTGCGATGGCAGACAGAGGCAGCCGCGACAGGAGCAGAGGGTCGGGCTGGGAAGAGCCCCGGCTGTGGCAGCCCCATCGCTGACCGCCGGGGCCTGGCCTGGGGTGTGTGGGCCGGGCTCAGGGAGAGGCCGGAAATATGGGTCCTACGAGGAGTGTCTGTCCAGAGAGGGTCGAGGGCTCGGGCCCCAGCGCGTGCCGTGGTCTCTCAGGACCACGTGCCGTGGGTGTCCCTGCCCGTGGCGGGCTTCCAGCTGCGGCGGCGCGGGGAGGCCCTGCGGGTGCCCATGGCCACCACCAGCCCCGACCGCGTCTTCTTCGAGCTGGACGGGACCGAGGGCGACAGCGGCCCGCACACCTGCCGCTACCGGCCGTTCGGGGCAGGCGCTGCCTGGTCGGCGAACCGCCTGCCCGTGGAGCTGGCGCGCAGCGACGGTGAGCCGGGGCGGGCAGGAACCGGCGACCCCCTGCCTCGGCCTCCGGCCCTGCTCC